GTCTCTCCAGCTCCAGAGCTCTCTCTTGTGCTAAGACCTTCTCCCGCTCTTTAGCCAAAGCTAGTTCCTGCTGCTCGCGTTCCAAAGCAAGTTCTCTCTCCTGCCTTTCACGCTCAAGAGCAAGTTCTCGCTCCCTCTGTAGAGCTTTTTCTTGTTCCTCTCTTTCTAAGGCCTGCTGTTTCATTTGTCTCTCTCTCTCCAAAGCTCTTTGTCTTTCCTCAAGCTCCAGCGCAAGAGCTCTTTCATGCTCTAATTCCATTGCCCTTTGCTGTTCATATTTTCTCTGTTTGTCCAGTCTTTCCATCTCAAGTGCTGCTTCTCTTTCTGCCTCAGACACATGATCTCCCTTTTTTGTGGCCTTAAATACAACCGCTGGTACTTGAATGTGGCCTGAATGTGCTCCTGTGACACTCTGGTCTGTGCCTGGAATAATGGGAAAGGCAACATTGCCCGTGTGAGTGATGGCAGAGCCCTGCCCGTCTGGAGGCCCTTTGCCAAAAAACGATGCAGCCGTTTGTGATTTGCTATCCTGCCTATTGCCTTCTCCATTACCGCCATGCCAAGCTGCTCCAGAGAAGGCACCCTCTGACTCCATCTTACGAGCCAAGAGAGTTAATGGCCCAGGCTTGCGCTCTGAGGGTCCACCTCTCTCTGGCTCTGGGCTGCTGCTACGACTGCCACTGCTAGATGAACCAGAGCTGGAGCTACTGGGTGAACGCCTACCAGGGGCTACATCTGGGCTAGGTGGACTCTGTTTAGGGGTGTCAGGCAAGGGAAAAGACAACTCTGGAGGTGGGGAAGGTGGGGGTGTAGGCTGCCGGAGCTGAGGGGACAAAAGGGAGGGGATATGTTGCTGCTGGGGTTGACAGGACGCTCCAGACCTCTGTCTCGTAGGGGGAGCTCTGGCTGGTTCTCGGACGTTTCTTCTTCGAGCGCCACTATCCCAGTCATCATCATCAGCATCTTCCTCTCCATCCTCACTATCCTCATCATCACTGTCAGGCGCAACATCACTGGATGTAGATCCTCGTTCTGGTCGATGCTCACCTCCAGGAACACGCATGGTAACTGAGCCAGATGCAGGGGGGCCTGAGGAGTCGTTCTCCTTGTTTTTGTTGCTCTCTCCATCATTCACTCCACCAGAGGGGCCTGCTGGTTTCTGTGGTTCAGCCAACGGTGCAACATCCTGCTAAGAGCAAAAAAGGAAACTCAAAATTCTGATCATATCTGGGACAAAATTAGAAGAAGATGAAAAACTCAATATTGTTTGAGGTTAACAAAGGTAACTTACCTGGGCTGGAGGAGGACATGAGGTGCTATTGTTAACTTCTGCATGGTCCTTTTGCTCTGCAGGTCAAAAAAAAAAACTGATGAAACTGATCCGACACTTGACTCATTACTGTACTTTTACAATATGGGATACAAACCATTCCTACCATTTGTATCATACACTTCGCGAGCTTCCCTCTCCAGGCGCTGCCTCAGAAGCTCCTGCTGTTTAGCAAGATACTGCTTGATAAAGCTGTTCTGGCTCATTTCCTCACCAATCTAAATAAAACAAACAACAAAAAAAGGGTAAAAAGTTGGGGATAGGTCTTTGCGGCCAGTTATACGACAGTTTGCAAATACCAAGAATGCACAAAAGTACAAGTGTCTTTTGGATATGATTAGCAGGCATGTATTAATAAACTTGAACTCAAAAAAACAAAAATCTCTGACACTTACTTGAGAATTTGGCTGCAATCCAATGTGAGCAGTAGAAGTCTTCTGGAGATTCTCCAGCATGAGAGCCTGTTGGTGATCAGAGAGACAGTTCATTTTAGGAGTCAAAAAGACAATCAACATGTACAGACTCAAAGAAAAATGACATACAACTATAAGTGGATAACACTACCAGAAAAACTTGCAGAACTACAATTACGAAATTCTAAGTTAAACTTGGCCATATCAGAAAAGGTTTTCTAATCAGAATTTAAACTTCTTTAAGACCATTATTAATGCATTGCACGGCACCCCATAACGACTTAAGTTTCACATGGTTGTTACGGGAGATTACAATTAAAAAATAAAACTACTTTCATACAAGATTAACAATTTTATTACACCTCAAGTGTAAAGATAACAACATTACATTTAACATTACATTACATTTGAAATGGAAAATGAAATACACAGCTGCCAACAACGACGTAAACCATTTGCATTATACTTTATTGTCACAGTATGTCACATCATCCTAGGCAACAACTCAGGCAAAACAGAACAACAACCACACAAAAACAGGGCATTAGAAGCAAGTGATTTAATGCTTCAGTAAATTATCATATTGATATGATATGTAAGCACATAAAAAAAATTTGAATGTCAAACCGTCATCACACTGTTGTGAACTACATGTGCGGTCGATTCCTTGGAATTACACGTGCATGTAACCAAAACAACAGCAGGCTTGTAGTTTTTTTTTATACCTCGTACACTAACATGGGGTCACTACTGTGCTTCTGCTTTAAACTTTGGTTTGTATTGGCATCAAATATATTTCACTTGCAAGCAAATTGTTGCAGACATAAAGCCCGGCGACAATTTTTGTTCAGCAGATAAGGTTAAAGACATGTCGCCATGTAAACAAACCGCTCAAGAGAGAAACTACGGCAACTCGTGGGCGTGAGAAACATTTGGCGCATGATTATTACAAAATCAAATCCAAATTAAGTCGAACGTTGATTCACTTTTGACGTTGGATATTAACTTTGACCGCGCAATGAGTTAATAACGCTACGTCAAATGCCCCTAAAACAGAAAACAGGCCGTAAATGCTATAGTAAACACGCAGTTAAAAGGAAAACTCGCAGCGGCAGCCTGTCGCCAAGGCCACCGCTAAACTTAGCCATAGTAGCTATCGAGCTAACAGGACAACATCCCCTATCAAACATTTTACATTAGTGGTTAAGTTCTCCGAAGTCCTTGATTATCCACGGAGAAAACTTATCTGCACGGAGAACATAGAGCCCCGCAACAGCTAAGCGCTACTGACGCCTTTAATCAGTTTACAACCTCACTCGGCTGTTATCCGCTCAGTATAGTCAGTTGTCGGCCTTTCGGGAGAACATTTGCCCGTCTCATGGTTAACGAAGGGTCCGAAGTACAACTTACCCCTTTAAGTCTTTTGACCAGTGCATTCTTCTGGCCACTTTTGGATAGCCCTCGTTCCTCTAATGCAGCTTTAAGGTCCGCCACTCGAAGGGACTGGAGCGGTCTCCCGTCCAGCGTAACATCTTCGAGGTCCGCCATTTTCCGTTCCTCTAGTCAGTTCCCAGCCAAAGCGACGAGCGACGCCTTCCTCTACATTGCGTCATCGCCGACTACTTCCCTCCTAATCCAACATAAACAAAACCCGCATATTTCTTAATTATTTCGGCACAAAAATGGGATTTCTTTCCAATTCCACTTATACATTTGGTATTATGTACACCATGTCCCGTGTTCGTAGATTGTATTTGTTTGAATGCGAAAAATGCGCAAAATCTGCGCAAGCTTTACCCTTTACAACACTGTTGAAACTGTTTGAACAACTTGGTTTGAGATAGGATTTAAAGATACCTTGCCTATTTTTTCGTGTTATAAACTTTAATTAGCATTACATTTCTTGTGTTTTATTTAATTAAAAATCCACGATCTTACAGTACGTTGATTGTATATAATATGCACTTCCAGAAATGTTGGAACGTCTATTATTATGGTATTAAGAAGCAAAATGATGGTGTTTGTACTACACCTTTACATTCATTGAGCAGTAAAGAGAACATGATTTGTAGTGTTTTCGACGTTAACTACTGATTGTACATAAACAAATTTGGATCTAGATCCGTCCAATAATTAAATATATACGTAATGTTCGCTGCCTTTGAGCTCATCTAAGATGGGTTGAAAAACAAAGGACATTTCGTTTCTAACTATTTTAGAGGACGAAGGGTGAGGGGAAAAGTTGACTTGAAGATAAACACTAAAGTGTGCTGAACACAGTTTTTTCGTCTTAACTTTTTGTTGTTTTCAACGATAAAAAAAATAATTTAGTGCACCATTCTACTGATTAAGTCCTTTTTGCCTTTTATCACGGACAGGGGTTGAATACAGTTTTACCAGTTGGGGGCAGTAACGGTTTTTAGGAAGGTTATTTAACAACCGCGAACGAGAATAAAAGTCGGATATGACGTCAATTATTTATTTGCAGCTCGGTCAGATTCACTATAATGTTCAGCTTGTTTTCAGCACACCGATTAATGTCAGGAATATTCGACTTCAAAAGCAGAGCCGTGTTTTGCACATGCTCTGATCCAGTGTTTGAGAGCATCGACGCTACTGTTTACTTCTCCAGCCAAGGAGAATCTCTGGTGATTTCGGTTTGATGATTGCATTTTACCGTTAAATTATATGCACTGACGATAGTGATTACTCTGGATATTCTGTGCAGAATTCAGATTTAAGTTCACTATCACCTCTAGTCTCGGAGGTCCAACACAGCAATGGGAACCCAACGCTGGAACGGCAGCCCGGGGGCTTTAAGTATCAATGACTTCCCTACTGTTCCTCAAGAAGGAGCCAGTCCACCCAGCCTGGAGAACTTGTCCTGCGCTTCTCAGACAGTAGGTCAGGCCAAAGAACCGGAGCCCATCTCCTATGTCACTCTGCAGGAGCAGCGATGCGTGCTGAGCTGGTTCCAGGGGTGGTCCGCTTCTCAAAGGGAGCGGTTCCTACAGGACCTGCTCGGTAAAGCGGTTCCGGGGAAAGTGTGTACTCTACTGGACTCGCTCAGTACTCTGCAGGTACATGTGTTAAAATCTGGGCTGGAACCAAGTGTTGTTTGTTTTTAATCAATTATTCAAAACGTCAGTCAATCATAAAGTTTGGATTGCATTTAGTCAAATAATCATTTTTAAATTTCTTCTCGACAATGACTATCTCATTTCTATTTTCTGTATATTTATCATCATTAACCTTATTTTAGTCAGCTTATTATTCCTTTATAATCATTTTCCTAATGTCTGATCTTTCATTCTAAACATTTAAACAGGTGTTGGTGAGACCATGTGATATTAATGTCCATTCTCCTTCTCTCTGGACCTTGACCAGGTTAAAGACCATCTACCAAACATCTTTGAGTGTCAGCTGCGTCTCTGGACTCAGTGGTTCATGTCTTGGGGAGAAGAAGAGAGGAATAATTTCCTCCACATCTTGGAGGAGAGAGATCCAGCGTTTGTTTCCCACTTTTACAGCTGTGTGGCGGGAACAGCAGGAAGAGACTGAACAGCAGGTGAATCAAGAAGATGAGCTTTTATTGTTCGTTTGTTTTTTAACATACATATATACTTTTGTACATCATGCTCCAGATGTTTTTGTTATGATTGTTTTGTTTTTTTCAAACAGACCAATACTCCTTTTGTACACAATAATTAAAGAACATGAATTGTTGTCTCTATGGCTTGTTGGTTTTATTTAAAAGTGTTGAAGTAGTGATCAGAGAACCCATCATAGGAAGAAGATGCCATGCATTCATCACACAGACTTAAGCCAATCAACTGATCCAGGTGTAACTGAAATGATCGGAGAAGGCTGCAGAGAGGGTTCAACGCAAAAGTTAATAAAAGGAAACATTTTCTCTGTGAACGGCTGGCCTTGAAATGTGTATATGTGACTTCTGGCCCCAGCATTGTAAAAAGAGACCTGCCCCTTACTGTAGTCAATCATAACTCCCATGATCAGAGGTTTTACCGGAATGTCTAGGGAGACGGGTATGACGTCTAAGGCTCTGTACAGGCCATTTTTGGTCAGAACTATAGTCCAGAATCCTTTTGATGGACTGAACACAGATGTTCCCCTTCTCGGAGCAGATGCGCTGGCCATTCCAAAGTGGAAACAATTTTTGTCACTTATAGAAACCTCCCAGTAGTTTCTCCCAGATGAAAAGTCAGTTTTACCCAAGACAGCCAGAATCACATCAAAGCGGTCTGGGTGGTCAGGGACGTTCTGTGGTTGGTCAACAGTATTTATCTCTGTGAAGTCCCGAGACAGGGTGACTCTCGGATGTGCAGTGTTTGGATCAAATCGAATTTGTCCTGTAAATGGAGAAATCAGCAACTGTAGACACACCAACTTCAACGGCCGATCAATGGTTTGTCACAATTAAAAAAAAGAAACTAGACTACAATTCAGCAAATGTACATCAAAGACAGGCAACAATCATCTTTAGCTTGGAATTAGCTCTACTTGCTAAAATGGATCTTAAATGGGAATAAAATGTATTAATAACAAAAAAACTTTAAACACATCCATCATGAATATTTCATCCCTGATCAGGACAGACAGACAAAGATGAAAATGTATCACTCACTTGCATGAACAGTTTGACTGTCCACTACACTAAGCTTGGTTTGAAGATCTGGGGAGAGGATATGGAACAGGGTCAGAACAGACCTGTTTACAGATGGTGTGATGTCACATTGTGTTGACCGTGATTGTTACCTTCCACCAGTTTTTCCAATCGTTTTTTCTCAGCTTGGAGTTCTGGTGTTGGGACAGGAAGGGTTTAATACAAACTCACAGTGAACACGTGAAAAATCTGAACTGTTAGACCTTTAACATACCACTGTAATTCTTGTCCAGTGTTTTTTGTTCATTGGTACATTTGTCCATCCTCTCGCCCATCTGTGAAAGTAAACTGTCCCTCTGCTGCAGCTGCTGCTGCAGAGTTTCAGCAAACGTCACATGCTGTTGTATTTGATGTTCTAATTCTGTTTGAAGGTGAAAATGAAAAGAACTCGTCAGATCACAAATATAAAAAATCGGGCATTGTAGTTTGAACAACAAAGACATGGCCGCACCGTGGAGGTTTTGCTCAAAGTTTTTGGTAGCATTCTTCTTCTCCTTCTCCAACTCCTGCTCCACCTCCCTCAGCTTGGAGGCCTGGTCCTGGAGCTGCTTTTCCATGAGCTCTGCGTCATTATGACTCTGCTGAAGTTGTCTTTGTAAATCTGTGGGAAAGTACGATTGAATTTTTTTTTTTAAACCTTCAAAATGTATGAAATAACCCAGTGTCAACACAGATCAATGCAGTGAAAGAGCAACAACCTCCACAGTGGGCGCTGTTATCACTGCAGCACTTTTTCAGTTCTCTGACTTCCAGGATCAGCTCTGACACAGGAAGAAAGATTTGATGAGGACACACGGAAGGAATCTTCCATTTATTAGTGAAAAGATGTAAGATCAGAGACCTGTGTTCTACCCTGCAGGACTCACCTTTGTTGGCGATTTCCATTTTTTTGTTCTCTCGTTCTTGTGTTTCAAGCTTTTGCTCCAATTCTGGGAAAAAGAAGATAACTCTAAGATGAAAGTATTCCTCTCCAGCAGTACAGATAATAAATATAAAAAAAGACTTGTCATGGAGGCAGAAACACTGTCATGAAAATGTTGACGTGAACAAACCTTTGATGTTTTTGCCTGCTGCTCTGGACGCCTCCCTCTGAGTCTTCTTCAGTTGTGTTCTCAGATCAGAGACTTCCATTACTAACACAAAGAGACACATGAACCGTTCATTTGTGTTGAAAAAAGATGAAATACAGATGCATTTATCAATAGATTTCTTTTTTACAAAGGTTAAAAGTCTTGGCGTCTGCCTTCTTCAGTTGATTTTCGCTGTCTTCCAGTTGTGCTTGTGTCAGATCCAGCCTCTTCTGAACCTCTGAAACAAGAGTCAGAATTCAGTGAAAAAAAATCATACAGGTACATTTGTTTCACGTTCTAGCTTCAGTTCTACCTCTGAGGTTCTCCTCGTGTGTCTCTTTCAAAATTGATATGTCATCCTCCAAAGGTTTGATCTTCTGATGAAGTTCCATAATTTCCATCGCTTCAAATGAATGAATAAATAAATAAATAAAAACCTTTTCCCAGATTGAACCCATTTCCTGTCCAGTAACTTACACAGATTAGTAATCCTGCTGTCACTGGACTCCAGAATTAGAGTCTTCTCCCTTATCTGGTTTCTGGTTTCTTCTAGTTCATTCTCCAGGCCTTAAGAGGAAATAAATGTTTTCTTAATAATAACAATTTTATTTAATTTAAAAAAAAAGGAAATTGTATGGATTTCCTCGTTTCCACCTTTTATTTTCTCTAACAGAGCCTTGGCCTCTCTCTCTTTTTGCTTCTGCAGTCTTGCTACTTCTTGCTGTGCAGTGAATATCTTCAGAGCTAAAAGGACGAGGAGGACACAAACATGAGATGAACATTAGGAGATCAAATCAGGAAAACATGTCACTATTGTAGTGATTCCAAATCACTGCGCCGCAAAAAAAAAAAGAAGAAGAAGAAAACTCACTCTGTTTGGTAACATCAGAGTTTTCACCTTCCATTTCTTCGATCAACATGTTGAGATGATCCTGAAGAGCTGCGGGTCAGACGCGTCACTCCAGGTTAGACACATAATGACTTACATTCTGCAACTTTCAGCTCTGCTTCACTCACCTATTATCCTGTTGTAATCGCTTTCATTCACTGCTGTGTTTGAAATCGTGTTAATCATTGTCTGGATTGCAAGTATCTGTAAAACTGAGCGCAGAAGCGTTGAACATTAATCCAAGATGAATTGATCATCTTAAAAACACAAACCAATAGTGTTATGACCATAAGAAAATATAAACATCAGTATTTGCAGCTGATAAAATGCACATTGAACGTACATTTTTGTGGTTGGGGACTTTTTGCCTTCAGTTCATCTGTTATTCTCTTTATCTCCTTAACATTTTCTTCTAGTCGTTTCTTCAGCTCTGCAAAGGTTTTAATGTGTACATGATTATAAATGAGTAGATCATCCATCAATATAAACGTCTGCTCCGACACCAACCTGTAATCTTTGACTTGGACTCGGTGGTTTGCAGCTGTGTCTGTAACTCCCCCTGCTGCAGGTTTAGTGTAGAAAGTTGAACAACTGAAGGGAGAGACAGAGAGAAAACAGCTAATTTCATTTCATTTGACTTTTCACAATTGTGACAGACGTAAACATGCTGTGTGGATACAGCTGTGTGATCTCTGTTTTGATTTGAAGCTTGAATGCATTCAAGCTTCCCTTTCTTTCTTTGAATTCTGACCAGTTGTATTGCCTTTCCTCAGTTCACTCCACACGGGGCGGCTAACAACAAGGCTAACATTCCATGTTGAACAATTGTCACCTTTTCCATTGTCAATAACAGCAGGATGTTTTTCACTCACTCAGAGCAGTGATATGGTCAGTTCCAGAGATTAGCTCTCCCATTTTCAAATCAAGGTCCTTCTCCAGATCTACAAGGACAGATTACGAACAGAAGTTCATGTTGTATCGCACTTGTAATAATATTCTGAGCAGTTTACATTGCTGCACGTCACATTTGTATTGACGTAAACTCACCTTTAATTTTTTGTTGGTGGTTGGCACACTCAGTCTCTGTCTGTTCCAGCCTCTTCTGTAGAGCTGTACAGTCACACATAATATAAAAATGTTTACAGTTTCTCTTGTAACTCTCGTGTTAAATGTAGGGGTGTCCGATATATTGGCAGACCGATATTAGCATAATTATGTCATATCTGTAATGATCATTATCGGTTTTTCATCCGATAATAACGCAATTGCTAGGTATATAAAAGTGAAAATAATGCAATTCCTAGGTATATAAAAGTGAAAATCACTAGATGGCAGCATTGAAGCTCATTTCATAATCTATTTTAATAATCAGTGGATTGTATGGTGAATGCTGGTGCCAGCAACTCATACAGTGGTTTGTACAGATAAACAAATAACTATTACCAGACAAACTTCCGTCCCCTCGGGAATATCCGGGACGGATATCGGCAAAAAAGGTTAATATCGGACATCCCTAGTTAAATGTGAGGGTTGAACTGACCGACGATCTCGTCCTGATCTCGACGATGCTGCTCCTCACGAGCCTGCAGTTCTTGCCTCAGCTCTGAAAATCAAGCACGTCTTTTAGCTTTCGAGACAGACACAGGTTTTCTTTTTTTTATTTCAATATCAATGATAATTAATCCACTCACTGTTAATTGTCACAAGACCTGTTTCTCCCTGGCTTTGCTTTTCCTCCTGCAGTTTCCTCATTTTGTTATTGAGGTCACTGAGCTCCATAACTGAGGAACAAAAAGAGATGAAAAAAAAACTGATATACATTTCATAACCATACACTGACAGAAAAATTGTTTTGGTTTGTTTTTCATTTCTCACTAAGTCTGGCGTTTGTTTCATCGGTCTCTTTCAGCTCAGTGACAGTTGTCTGCAGCTGCGCCTGCTTGGAACTGAGCTCCTTTTCTAACTCTGTGAGAAAAGAAAAAAAACGTCAATTAAAGACATAAAGTCAGGAACAGAGCAGGCAGCTCACCTGTCAACTGTGCGGCTGTGATGTTGTGCTGGAGCGACAGCTGCCTCTGCAGGTGTTCCACCTGATTCTGCAGTAGCATGATTTTCAGAACTGAGTGACACAGCAGAGTTATTTCAGATTTACTTCAGTAATACTGGCAGAGTACTGTAAGGATGTACAGTTCAACAATGACGTGTTGACACCCACTGTGTTTAAGCTTTTCTTCGTTCTCTATTTCACCGAGAAGTCCATCCACTCTGCTAAGCATCTCTGAAGAAGAGTTTGTTATTATTATTATTATTATATATATAATATATCAAAACATTCACATGTTTTTTTTAATAATCTATTGGAGTTCACTTACCTTTAAGTCGCTGACCTGCGTCCCCATCACTGTTTTTTTGGAGGTCAGCGATCTCATTCTGGAGCTGAATGATAGTTAAAACTGAAACAAACAGTTTCAGACGGTTGTTAGTGATGGTGGATTTATTAATGTGTATTAATGTTTCTTAGATTTGTTATTTCTACAATTAAATTTTTTTTGTATTTTTTCTGCCCTTAGTGCAGTACATTTGACCCCACACAGGGTCTGGTGACCTTTCTGCCTGACCGTTACACTTACTCAAATCAGGATTAGAGAGGTATTTTTTCAGTTCTGCAGTCAGAGATCTCAGCTCCTCTTCCTTCCCCTTCAGCTTCATCTGCAACTCTGAGAGACAGAATAAACAGATTCATCAGTCAAACACACACACACACACACAAACACACACAGTACAACTACATTTAAAGTAACATTTAAACTGGTAGGGGAAATGTATTTTTTAGGTGACTCCACCTAATTTTTTTCCGACTGGGAATCATGTTTCCGAGTTTATCACTAGAGGGAGCTACGGGAAATTATCCACATTTGGGGAAAATTATTTATTTGGTAGCGCAGATTCAGGAACTGATAGGAAAACATTTTTATTTCTAATGACCCTGCTGGGATTCAGTGTAAGTGCAGGTCAAACATCCACTGTGGATACCTACCTTCTTTCTTCTGAGGAGTGTCTGCCGTAGACATCAGTTCTCTCAGATTCCTCAGCTCATTGTTGAGATTTATCACACTCAGAGCTAACCACACACACACACAAAAACAAACAAAGAATTGAAACATTTCCATTATAAACAGCAAACATTTCTCTTGTGTTGCAGACAGAGCTTCACCAAGTGCTTCTTTAGCATCTCCGTTCGTGTGAAGTTCCGCGATCCTCTGTTCAAATTCACTCTTCGCCTCTAACGGAAACAAAAACAAAACCATGAAATCACACCTGACGCCGCAGAGCCTTCGTTTGGAGTCAGACTCCTTTCTTACGTGTGTATTTCTCCTCTAATCCAGCAGACTCTTTACTCTTCTGCTGCAACTCCCTCTCCAGCTCTGTCAACAGGAAGTCAGGAGGAGAAGGTTTAGAGCTTCAGTGAAAATAAATGAATTTTACTGATACTGTAAAAACAACAACAAAAAAGAACCACCTTTTATCCTTTCCTGGGCCTTGAAGAAATCTCTTTCTTTGGTCTCGAGTAAAGTCTGAAGGGCTGATGAAAAACAACACAGTAATGTTTTTTCAAAGCTTTTCCGTGACAAGTTTCAGCTAGGAAATCATGACAGACATGTCTGTAATTAGAACATGACTAAGTCAAAAGGTTCTAAGACAGTTGTCCATCTTCTATCCTATATTTCATTTTTTCAAAAACTTTTTGATTTAACCTACCAGGTGAGAAAAGGTAAAAAAGATCAGAAGCTAAAGACTCACTGCTGCTCTGGCTTGTTGATTTCTTCCGTGTGCCATCCTTCTGCAGCGCCTGCAGCTCTCGCAGCTCTTTCATCATGTTGATGATCTTAATCACTGGGGGGAAGAAAGCCTGGGTTAAATTAGCCAAGAGCAACTAGCAACTTAACCTTTTGACCCCAGTCAGCCAATATAGTTCCACAATCAATTTACTGGCAACCTACTCACTGAGCGTCCAACCTGGGCCTGTTTAGTTGAACACAACTCTGCTTACACTCACATGAATTGAAGAAAGATACACACAGTGACAACAACAGCTCACTTTTTCAAGTCACTTTTTTTTGTTCTATATCCATCTGTTACCACCAGGTGGAAGAGTATGTAACTGTTCTGCCTGTCACTGCAGAATATATGAACAAACACATTTTTGCAGGAAATGGATAATGGTTTTCAGAACAGTTAAGTGACACGGTACTATTTCCCCTGTGCAGAGTGGTTGGGAATCCCTTCTGCTGTGATAAAGCAGTACCCACGCATTTGTGTCTGTGTGTAATCTTCTTCCTCCAGTTTCTTCTGTATGTGTTCCAGCCTTTTCTTCTCCACCTCCAGAGAAACTCTCAGCGCTGTCACAGATGGAGACATGACTTCACTACTACGTCCCACAAAGGTGACTCATTGAGTGTGACTCTCAGTTTGGACCTGTTTTACCTTTGATTTCCGTTTCAGTCCTCGCAGCGTTTGACAGCTCTCTCAGATCCATCAATTGTCTCTGCAGAGCTAGAATTTCATTGGCTGAAGAAAAAAAGCAAGAGAAGGTCACAAACGCAGCTGCCGCCGAAGCAACGGGAAGTGCAGGGAAACACTTACTCAGTTCTGTATTTCGCTCGTCACGATTCAAAAGTCTGATCTTGCTTGTAAGGAGTTCAGACATCTGCCTCAGCTGCCTCTGGTAGTCTGATTCAAACAACAACATGTGATGAGTCGGATGAGACCAGATGTTGAACAGGAGGAGAAATGTTAGGACAGGCTCTCTGGGGCCTCACCGTCGTTGATCCTCTTGGATTTTTTAATGTGGACGTTGATGAGCTTCTGTATCATCGAGATCTTACTGTGCACAGAAATCAGATCCAGCACTGAAAGTTCACCAGAGAACAAGTGTCAGTAAACGCTGCGTTCTGCTGGTGTGAAGAAAAGTGCACGTAGACGTGTGTGTGATGTACTGACGTGCTGAGCTGCTGTTGTCTCGTCCTTGCAGCTCAAAAATCAGTCCGCTCAGCCTCATCTGTAGAACTGATGCATCAAGACGTCTGAGGGTGACGGTAGTGGCACGAGTGGGTGTGGGTGTGGGTGTGGGTGTGGGTTTCAGTGTCAGTTTACCAGTCATGTTCCTGCTCTGCTGAAGGCCAGCTTCTCCTGCTCTCGATTCCTCCTGCTCTAACTTCCAGATGGCGTTCTGTGTTGAGATGATCTGAAGAACTGAACACGAACATCATGAACCAGGAGTTTGTCCACAACTGAAATGTTTCCTAAGTGTAAGAACGCTCCTCACTCTGTTCTGAGTTGCCGTGTCTTTCCTTGAACAGCAGCACCTTCTCGTTCAGGTCTTTAACCCTTCCCGTCAGCTCATCCTCCAGCTCTGCAACACAAAAGGCAGATCTGAAAAACCTGAGTATATGAACAAAAAGAACAGTGGTGGATTTTATAGACAGCTGTTGTTGTTTACTGTTTGTTGCTTCTTTGAGGGAGCCCGCCGCAGTTAGACTTGGAAAAACACAAGGGGCCAAACAAACACCCAGTACTCACGTGTCTTTTCACTTTGGCTGTAGTTGGTTCCATGTCTGAGTTTGTCCTCTAATACTGCCACCTCTCTGTTCAGTGAAAGGATTTGCAGAACTGGTAAAAAAAAAAAGGACAGAAATGTTACGCAAACTACAGCTACAGTAAAACAAGTACATTTGGGTGTGACAGTAGTACAACGTCGTAAGGAAATACTCACTCAGAAAAGAATCACTGTCAAATAACTCCAGCAGCTCCTTCATCTGGTTCTGCAGTTGTATCTGATAGGCTGTGAGGGAACAACAGTGTCAACCCTCCTGGCACGATGTACTGGGTTTCGGGTGAAAAGCACTTACAGTCTGTGATGGCCGAGGCGGTGGAGCTGCATGTGGACAGCTGCACCTTCAGCAGTCTGACGTCTCGCCTCAGAGCAAACGCCTCCTCGTCTGTTGGGTATCACAGCAGCATCAGTGGAGAACAGAGTGGACGAACAGCCAGTGCTTTAAGGTCACAGGTCATTAGGACTTGCCTAGCTGGGAGTTGCGCAGAGTCTTCTCTTGAAGTTGCTTGTTAACTGACGCCAACTCTTCCTTCAGACCTGATAACAGGTGACAGCTTTAGTGGTGACTGATTGTAAGGTTTGGAAATCATAACACCTGCCATGTAAAGAAATGATTTTCTGCAAGTCACGAGATCATTTTCCTCACATGCAACACACGGGTGCAAAGACATACTCACCAATGCAGGTATTCAGAGTAATAAACTAAAAGACAGAGAGAAAAAAACAGTTACATTAATACAGAGTAATGCTTAAAATTATGACTTTTATTAACATAATAAACGACTAATGATCATTAGTTACAGTAGCATTAATGTTCTTGGGGTCAATTCCCTCCGGTAGAGTAATCTGATGGAAACAAGTAAAAAAATAAATAAAAATGTATAGTTTCCCAAACTGTTGTTTCCTGTGACAGGTCACAAACTTGGCGACTTACTGGAAAATCTTTAAGGATGTCTTCCACAGATTTGTGTCCATTCTTTTTGATGGAAACATGATCTTGATGAACTGGCACGGAAACATTTCAAATGGATGTGAATTACATGAAAATCCTTCTTCTGTCTTATTTAATGTATCAGGGGGAGGATCGACGTTCCTTACCATGTCTGGGTACAGAGCCATTGAAGGCTGTGCACAAAACAAGCAGAGGAATCCAAACGGAGTGGGTCATTGTAGCTCCGGTCCTTGGTCCTTGTGTTTGTAGTTGTCTGTATTAGGGAATGAGGTCAGTTGCCCAAAACAGGTTAATATATCCCTAGCTATGTTTGAGTTAAACAAAATCATCCAATGGCAACAAAGAGCATTTTATGCAAAAGCAAACAAAAAACTAAGTGGAGCTTTACACAAACCCGAGCACAGGGGGGCAGGGTTTGATGTCTGGACTTCCTGTAAATGTCAAAAACTAATATTTTCAGAGAGCATCTCTAAATAAATATAGCAATGGGTCATTTAAGCCCAAACCTGACCAACAATAAACTTTGCCTGACGGTCAGCAGTTAATAATTGACTGTTATTTGACCAGATCATTACACTGCCAGTAAATGTAAAAGCAAATAGAACAGAACCAGGAATTTTATAATTTAACACTTTGGATGAAAATTTAAAAGATTTTTCATCAACCACTAAGCCACCACTGTAAAGTAAAATTTGTAAAATGTACATATATATATATATATATCGAAATATATATATATATATATATATATAAAAATATATATATATATATATATATATCGAAATATATATATATATATATATTCTTTTCTACACAATGTCACCGTCTGCTGATCAAACCAACCACAAACCTTACAAAGTTGTTTAAAAACCCCAGAATACTTCCACAATGAACAAAATAACAGCAACTGTTTACTCTTTTAATAGCAAAATACTTTTACACATTTACAAAACATGCATTCAATCATAACACATTAGATTATTGAATGAATGCCTGAATACAGGCTAACATCTAACTGTTAAATTATTAACAATTTATTATTAATATGTGAATGTCTTGATGGGAAATATTCCAGAAATTATCTGGAGCAATAATAAAGGGTTTACTGAAAAATACAAATAACAGTTGATCAAATATTTTTAACCTCCATGATCCCCTTTATTCAGACCTATTTTCTCATTATATTCTATTATTTAGATGTGTTATTTTACAATCACGTATTGGATAAACAATGGGAATGTTACGAAGTAAAAAAAGGTATAAATACAAAAATATGATAAACATAGAGCCTGCTAAATATTAAAAAAATAACTGTTAATAAATAAATATCGCAGTGTTCTAGCAATTAGCTTGTGCACAGACACAAACGTAGATTTACAATATATTTACACTTATAATATCGTTATATAGAGATATAAACTACATAATTAAAGTTATTAGTTTTAATACATTACTACGTTACCGTGTTTTAGCTGAATAAGCGTCGACATGACGTATATCGTGTATGTTTTCCTTTAAATCAAAGATTTAAATTTCCCTTCCCTACTCATTTAAGGTACTCGCCACCTGGTGACGGAAATTCAGAAGGCACTTCGTTTAAACACTCGCTTTGTAGTTAAAAATAGTTTTTTAAGAAAGTCACTAAAACGTTGATACATGTGAAAAAGTTGCATGAATTTATATCGTTGTTTTATATTTTTAATTTCGCTTTTCTTCTGTCGAAAGATGACTATTTTCTTCATTTTCCACAAGGGCAGTTTGGCGTAGGAACACATTTTATGATGAAATCTTGTCTGGTGATGCGGTCGGTTGTTCGGTTTAGCTCCGCCAACAACAAGGTCCGGCCATTGGGTTGTATGAACGATTCGACTTCCGGTGGCTCAAACGTGCCACTGCATATATAAACAAGTTCCCTCCAAAAGATTGTCTGCTCTGTGTGTAGTTGTATATTTAAGCCACAAGAGGGCGCATGACTATAATCTCGTCGCGGGAAAACCCCTGGAATATCCAGAGAAGAAGACACGGGGTCTTCTACGTCTTTGTCATTTGTGTGGTTGTATGCTTGAGCCAATTGGTTTTTGCCCTCTTGTGGCTCAAACGTGCAACTTCACTCATCGACTCAGGTTTAGTATTTCACTAAAACGGACTATTTCGTGAAATTTTCAATAGGGCGTTTTGGCGGATGGTTACAATTTTAAGCCTCCCGTAGCAAAGTGCTGTTCGGTTTTGCTCCGCCAACAAGCATTTACAAACGTAGTGCCCGTCAATTGACGCCGACGGAGACACGGGGTTTCCCTGGATATTCCAGGGGTTCTCCCGCGACAACATTATTGTCATGCGCCCTCCTGTGGCTCAAATGTATAACTACACACAGAGCAGACAACCCAATGGCCGGACCTTGTTGTTGGCGGAGCTAAACCGAACAACCGACCGCATCACCAGACAAGATTTCATCATAAAATGTGTTCCTACGCCAAACTGCCCTTGTGGAAAATGAAGAAAATAGTCATCTTTCGACAGAAGAAAAGCGAAATTAAAAATATAAAACAACGATATAAATTCATGCAACTTTTTCACATGTATCAACGTTTTAGTGACTTTCTTAAAAAACTATTTTTAACTACAAAGCGAGTGTTTAAACGAAGTGCCTTCTGAATTTCCGTCACCAGGTGGCGAGTACCTTAAATGAGTAGGGAAGGGAAATTTAAATCTTTGATTTAAAGGAAAACATACACGATATACGTCATGTCGACGCTTATTCAGCTAAAACACGGTAACGTAGTAATGTATTAAAACTAATAACTTTAATTATGTAGTTTATATGTGTATATAACGATATTATAAGTGTAAATATATTGTAAATCCACGTTTGTGTCTGTGCACAAGCTAATTGCTAGAACACTGCGATATTTATTTATTAACAGTTATTTTTTTAATATTTAGCAGGCTCTATGTTTATCATATATTTGTATTTATACCTTTTTTTACTTCGTAACATTCCCATTGTTTATCCAATACGTGATTGTAAAATAACACATCTTATGAGAGATCTTATGTGCATTATTTTCCCCTATGAGCCAGACGAGCAGCATCCGTGGAAATAAATGTGAATGTGATTAACATTACAATAGTTGTTAGGAACGAACTTCTGGTTCTATCTAAAGAAATCATTTTTAATTAGACAAATAATAGAATATAATGAGAAAATAGGTCTGAATAAAGGGGATCATGGAGGTTAAAAATATTTGATCAACTGTTATTTGTATTTTTCAGTAAACCCTTTATTATTGCTCCAGATGATTTCTGGAATATTTCCCATCAAGACATTCACATATTAATAATACATTGTTAATAATTTAACAGTTAGATGTTAGCCTGTATTCAGGCATTCATACAATAATCTAATGTGTTTTTACTAAAACATATTACACATTTACATCTACAGACCAGTAAACCTGCTAGAATTAAAATTGCTTGTGTTGTCCTGCCTGTTTACTGTCAACAACTTAACCAGAAATGGCTGCTGATCCCTGATCATTTAAACATTTCAAGGACAATATGTCTTGGATTTACGTCCTATATTTTGATTTTATTTCTTTTCACCTTCTTCTAACAGTAAATACTGGAATGATCTGTTACTCCAGTAAAATGTCAAACAAGACACACAAAGATTCTCTTAAAAACTTTACTGTGACTTTAGACAAAATATTGGAAATGTCAATAGTTTTATAAATAAAACAATACTTTCACATTTGTGGTGGTCACAAGACAAGAACATATAATGACCTGGGTCTGAGGCCTGTTGGTCTGGATCGCAGCACCTCAGGCGTCTCCTCTGTTCACCCTCTGCTCTTGTTTTTGGTGAGATTTTGAAATATGCAGGTAAAATATTTTTTTGCAGTTTTTAGCTTAAGTTATTTACTTGGCAGCATGTTTTACAGCATAAATGTGCATTTTGAGGTATTTCTGGGACATTATTTTTGCATTTTTTCACAATAATAAGACTTACCAGTTGCGTCCCTTTCTCTGCAGCAGCACAAGCAGTTTTCGGCAGCAATCATTATATCTCAACAGTAAATTCAACAAAGCTGCAGACAAAAGATCTCAGTTCCCAAATCTAAAATGTATCCTTGGTATTATGACAAATAGACGCAAATAATGCATTGCGTTTCTTTGCCATGTTTTGTAACATTTGCACAAATTTGATGCGATCAGTATTTGCAGCATAATTCAGTATAAGAGTTGCTGGAATTTTCCTTTATTTGCACTGACAATAGTGTGCAGTGACTGTCTACCCATTAACAAACTAATGACCCTGCACCTGGTGGATTGTGGATGTCGCCTGTGATTGGATAACGAGGCGCTGCTGTGCCCTTTAAAAGCAGAAGAAAATGGCAGTCCTTCCTTTCCTGGTGGCAAAATGGTGCTGCGTGGAGGTACAGAGGAAAAGGTTTGCTGTTGTTATGATGGTACGTATTTCTGGGTCTCTTCACTTTGGAGGCAAATGTGTCATGGTAAGTAGCAGTATTCTGCTGACTGTGTAGATGGTTTGTCTTCAGTAAATCCCTTCAGGGGTAGCAGCAGATCCATGTCGTCCTCACCTGGGCCGTTGACTCCACCACGCCAAGAAGTCCAAATCATCCGGTTTCGGTTACGTGAACGACATCGTCCTGGTCATTTTTAAGCTGCTCAAGTAAAACATTTCGAGATTTTTGTTTTGAAACTTTTAGATAGCATTACAGAGTGTTGTGAAATGTTTACAGGACATCAGGGCTGGAAAGAGGAAATACTACGCAGCCTTCTTTAAACCAACCGGTAAGTCTGTTTTACTGTGAGATTTAGTTGTTTTTTTTTTTTTTCCCCCCTAACTTTACTGTGGACAAGTTTTTATTTTGTTTTTTTTAAGTGTGTCTTGAGTTTAGATCATGGCCAAAGTAATGGAGATGTACCAGCTGAGTGCAGTGGTCTTTGAGTGTGCAGCTGATTGAACCTCACTAAAGGTATGAAATAACCTCACTGGTGCTAAAGCGTTTTAGCATTTTGTTAAAACTGCAGCCTTTTTATGTTGAGAAATATCCACATGTTCCCCTCAGCTGGCGTTTCTTAGTTCACTTGAACACTTGTTTTTTTTTTTAGGCCACAAAGTTTGAATGTTGCCCTTTAACAGTGTAATGTTTGTTTCTTGTTTAGTTTGGGCTCATGGAAAAAAGAATAACCTGTGAGGAGGTCCAGGAATGCTGCCAACAAAGGGGAAAACAAGAAGAAGAGGTAACCTGTGAATGATTGACTACAGCCAGAACAACTAGTCTTATTGCATTTACTTTTCTACTTTGTAGAAGTGAAAGTAGAGAAGATGGAGGTGTCATGGTGAGGACTTTGTGCTAGATGGAGAGTTGTTTTTGACTTGGTCCAAATAAAGTATCTGACCTCTTGACTTGTTTCATGTAGTTACTGTTGAATGTGAAATTCTTTAGTTCTAAGTACTGACACAAAGCAAATGAGTGGTTTACTTAAGTTGATTGTAGTGGTTAATTGAAGTGTTTTGTAACATGCTAGTGTTTAACACTTTGGACATGGTGTAGCCATCTTGAGAGCACTGAATGTTGTCTTCATCTTGTTTCAGTCCAAAAGAAGAGGTTTAACCAAGCTGTTCCACTCCTGATGATGGGACCTTTGTTGAATGTGAGCTGCCATCTTGAGTTACTGATGTAATTTGACTTGTATTAAATGTGTATCTATGGACTTTGTAACTGAAGTGTTTTTGCTATTAAAAGATGTAAGTTATTTCATTCATTTTATGTATTCTGGTTTGGTTTTTAACTTACTGCTTGTAACTTGCTAAACAAACTTAAACTTAGAAAAAAAACACTTTTTTTTTTTTTTTTTTAAATGACTAACTCTTTTTGTAAATGTCACTATAATTACAGAAATCGGTAAAACAAGTGATCCTTCAGTTACTCCTTCACTCAACCTGACCACCAGGCACTTAAGGCCTTCACCTCATGTCAGTCTTCTCCTCCACTGCACTGTTGACGACAATAGAGGAGGCACAACTAATGGAAGAACAAGAATGAGCTGGAACAATAAAAAGCTGTGTTGGTGTCATTTACCTCTTGCTGTCAGGGTGGAAAGCCACACAGTTGATGGGACCAAAACGACCTTTGACTCCTCTTTGTACTAGCTTGGAAGAACCTGCAGATTAGAAGAACATGTCACTGTTCCACAGGTTAACACAAACAGGTTTTCCTTAACAGCAGCTACAAAGTATTCACTTCCACAGCACTGCCAACATTACACTTACAGTGGAAAGTCTGTTGCACAATTAAATGTTTACACATCACTATCAACAGTGTTAATGCTAACACCACAATGAATAAGGGACAGCTGTACATTTTCTTCTGTTTCTTTTGTTCATGTGGAGACAACAGTCACTGGATGATTAATTCAACCACACAATAATATTCTGGAAACATCACTTCAACTCACCTGGCCTCAGATCTGCCAATCCTGGTGGAGGTTGTGGTCACATCCATGGCCTCCTGCCATAAGCACCTAAAACACACAATGGTAAGGATTGAGGGACTGTTGATCCACTAGGATACACATTGCACAGTGATGACTTCATCTTATGCGATCCATGATTGGAAAAATCAAACTGTACCACTCATTTCTCCTCCATGATTGGAGAAATCAAACTGTACCACTCATTTCTCCTAGGATGTATTACAAAATTGATATAATGTATATGTAAAACGCATTAAAACAGCGCTACACTGTGATAACTTGAGCGTAAACAGAATTAAAATCATGTAAATTCCTTCTACAGTGTGTGGGTTTCTATAGTTCAACGGCAGGTGCGCCACCTAGTGGCTCTTGCTCAAAGTTTTCCCTTCATTGGACAATACGATGTGAATGCCTTCCCGGGCCGAAGTTCACTCGTGTCCTTTCGTCACTAATCGTGTACTATCGTCTCGCGCCTTCTCGCGATACTATTTTACATCTACGTCTTTGCTCTAACGCCGTTGATAACGTGAATGTGCAGTACCGAACTAGAAGAAGTGTCTTCTGTAGGTCGTGACAGCGGTGTCTCACTTTCTAACAACCAGCGGATAATCTGTAGTTAAATTATCTCGTCCGTTTTCACCGGTGAATAATTCAATTCAACAGCTTTTTCTGAGTTTCAAGGTAAAGTGTCGTCTGTCTTATAGTACTGGGTTATAAAATCCTGGAAAAGGTCCAACTGCCGTAAACTGTTGTGGCTGCTTCTATAATACTAGGCATTATTACTATTATTGTTGGGTTTTTTTGTGTATTTTATTTAACACTTAAATACATGTATACAATGATGCTAATGACTGAATATCTTGTTAACTTTCCTTGATATTCTTTGTATTTTATTACATAATTAAGAAAATTAAAGTTTCATATTTTTATTCTTTCATATTTCCTTTAAGTACAGACACAGAGTAAATGAATAAATCTAGTCTATTGAGGATGGACAGCCATAAATAACTGATTACAGATTTCCAGTAAATTTTGCACTGTCATTCGAGGTTGTAACATTTGTGTCATAACCCGCAGCCTTAGTCAACCTGTGATCAGATAACTGATCCACCAGAGTAACGCAACATCCTACCTTTGGGCTAACGCTGTCACTTACATCACACAGACCATGTCCCTGTCCGGATGGGTGTGTTTGGTCACAGGTGCCTCCAGGGGCATCGGCAGGGGCATCGCTCTACAGCTGTCGGAGGCAGGGGCCACCGTGTACATCACAGGGCGCCAGGAGCAGACTCTGAACCAAACGGCTGTGCAGGTGACATTTTCACTGTGGACCTTCACACAGGATGCCAAATCCACTGAGGTGAACCGTGTCTGACCGTGGGCGCCATCTACTGTGGGTGGTTCATGTGGCTCTTTCTTCTGTCCTCAGGTGAAAGAGAGGGGTGGGAACTGTGTTCCAGTCGTCTGTGACTCTACAAAAGACAAAGACATTCAACAGTTATTTAAACGGATCCAACAAGAACAGAACGGCAGACTGGACATTTTGGTTAACAATGCCTATGCTGGAGTACATGTAAGTATTACAGTATGTACTGACCTTTGACCTGGCATACTGTTTTGTGACGTACAAGTGTCCCTTTAAGGACATAAGGAGTATTTTAAGCGTGTATCACCTCATAATTGACCTGTTATTACAGACCATCACTGAGAATTATGGTAAGAAGTTCTGGGAACTTGATCCGTCCATGTGGGATTGCATCAACGACACAGGCCTGAGGTATAGTTTAAATTTTTAGATAAGCAAATTTAAATCTGTGTTTTTCCACAGAAAGTAGGAACTCGTGTGTCTGTGACGTGTCACAAACAAAGAAGGACTGAGTTTTGTTTACTCAAGTACAACTGTACATATTTACATAAACAACACAGCTGCTCCGCACACATGTATTTGGTCTGGCTCCAGTCTTGCTCAATCATGCTGGAAAATGTGCCTCTGCTGCTGGTAACTGATCAGTCACACTGGTGCCCTAGACAAAAGCTTGTTTAGTGAGTATGCCTGGTACCAGCTGCAGCTCTTTCATGCCTTTAATAGTTGTTATGGGTGTGCAAAAAGTCATCAAAATGACGATCATTTTTGTGGGTGTCGTTTTTTCAGATATGTGATCAAACCACTTAGTCATCTACTTATATTTGACAAAAATGTATTTGTGCTGGATCAGAAAGGTCACACTGAACATGCGTGGTCTGTCTCATCTGACCTTTACTCCACTTGTGTCCTTGTGTAAACTGCTATCACACCACTTTATCATGCGGAGTAAACCTGGTTAAAGATTATAAAATTATTTTCTTCCGTTTCCTGACAGGGGGCACTATTACTTCTCAGTGTATGCCTCTCGGTTGATGGTGGCTCAAGGGCGAGGCCTGATTGTCACCATTTCCTCCATGGGAGGGCTTCGGTATATATTCAACGTGCCCTACGGTGTTGGTAAAGCTGCGGTGAGTAAAGTAGGAGCTATCACACACAGAAATTGTTTTTTTTAACACAATAGGAGTGTTTAAAACCAGTCTTTGTGGGGGGTTTTTTGCTAGTGTGACAGGCTGGCTGCAGACATGGCTGTGGAGCTAAAGAGAAGGGGCGTGGCCTCAATCAGCCTGTGGCCTGGAGCAGTGAAAACTGAGCTGATTTCTCAGTACATACTGGACGATACAAAAGCTGAAAATTCTGAGGTGGGGTCTTCTCTCGCAGCAAATGTATGGCCCATGTTGGCAGTTTTTGATGTGTGTGTGTGTGTGTGCTGTCCTTTCCTCAGTTAAAATCCCTGTTTGCCAACGGAGAAACCACAGAACTAAGTGGGAAGTGTATCGTCAACTTGGCCAAAGGTGGGATTCTGTGTTTTTTTACTTGACAGCAAACACAGTGTGTTTTACCTAAAACACGACTTTATATGAGATTTTCAAGTCAGGTGTCAGACCGGAGTTGAACCCTCCACACTGAGATATTTTCTCTTTACCTTAAAGACAAAAACCTGATGTCAATGACGGGAAAAATTCTAATGACCAGTGACCTGTCGAGGAGATATGGGATACAAGATGTTGATGGTAAAACCTTCTATTTTCTCTCTTCTAATGTAAAACCTATAGTTATTTTTTGGTAATGTACTCATCTATCAGTCTTTTTCATCTGTTTATTCACAGGTCGTAGTGTAACTGATTACACCTCAGTGAAGTTCCTCCTGACAATGGTTCCATATCTTTCCTGGCTCTCTGTGATCGTCCCTTCATTCATACGCCTGCCACGCTTTGTGCTCACACTGGCCCATAGTCGGTTCTAAACAGTTCCATCGTCTTAAATGAAAAGACTGGAATTAATTCTCTGAACAAGAATTTTTGTTTGAAGACATTGTATGAATTCCTCACCTTACTTCCTGTATGTATTGTACAAACACTAACTTCAGCTGTGAACAATTGTTATCAGTGGTTAAAATCACCCTTTTTAAACACAGGCACACAGTATCTAACTCCGTTTGGGAGAATTCGTGGGAATTGGTGCCATCTTGTGGTCAATCTGCAGAATACCATACACAAAGAACTTTTAACACTTACCCCACTCTTCTCTGAAATACCTCAAGGATCTTCGGAGGCCTTTGCACACCAGAAAGGATATGTGCAGTCCTCAAATACCCCCGCCTCTTTGTCCCCCTCCACGATTCCTCCTTGGTTGTTTATGGTCTACAAACTAAAGAAGTCTGTCAGAGAAACCTGAACATATGAACATACAAGATGATAAAGTTAGAAAGTCTGTCTTAAATAACAACTCAACTTGGCAGTTACTGACATTTTTTAAAGTCACAGTTAAGTAGCATCTGAAGTTGGACCTTTAATATCAACTACACTACCAAAGCTTTAAACTAACTTTATATTTACTATATTTTTTTTGCATATTTACATATTTTCTGTACCTTCTGCCATCATACACACACTTTATACTCAGCTGCTTCAGTAATTACCAGCTAATAAGACTCGAGTTAATGAAGAAATGTTAACTATTACTAAATTTTTTTTGTATTTGAAGGAATATGTGAAAAGAAGATGTGAAGAGTATGTGTACCGTACTTTATGAAGTTGAATCCTATGCTTGTGTGATTAATCATTTACATGAAGTCTGGAAGAATGTTTAATCTATAAATCCACAATCAAATGTCGACTACTGTAGTATTTTGATGGTGAGGTTTTAAATCTAGATTAAGTCTACATTGAGATTATGTTTAATCCCATACAGGAAGTTTAAATTCAGTACGAGATTCTGACAGTTTCACATTGAAATGTGTCATTTTTAATGTCTGAGTAACATCCTGAATTTTTTTTTTTTAACCTTTTGGTAGAGGGAGTGTTACCTCCTGTGGCACGAAGTACTTCAAACATTTTAGGTCGTCTGACCCCCACCCTCCCCTTCCAGGTTGGTCATAGTTTTGCTTTCTTTTAGTTGCCAGAAAAATTCCCTGAAGGTGGATTCTGCCTCGTAGCCAGAGGTGAATGCTACACTGAGATAACAGAGTGCTGGCAAGAGTGGGAGCGGGAGGGGTCGTGTTCAGGGACGTGCTAGGATTCAGCTCTTCCTGATGAGTCATACAAAACAGTTTGTTCTTAAGAAACAATACGATAAAAAAAAAGTTAGGAATTTTGAAGCAGTCTTTGACGTGTCACAGAAAAAAAATAATACACTAATAAGAGTACCGTACTTTATGAAGTTGAATCCTATGCTTGTGTGATTAATCATTTACATGAAGTCTGGAAGAATGTTTAATCATATGTCATTAAATATTGTTTTCTTTTTATTGAAGTACAGTTCAGGATTCTACCTTAATGTTTAAAAGCAGTAAATGCATTCTTTCTAAGTCCGTGCTTGTCAAACGGTGGGTCTCAACCCAGATATGGATGAAAACCTTTTTCTATAAATCCACAATCAAATGTCGACTATTGTAGTATTTTGATGGTGAGGTTTTAAATCTAGATTAAGTCTACATTAAGATTATGTTTAATTCCATACAGGAAGTTTAAATTCAGTACGAGATTCTGACAGTTTCACATTGAAATGTGTCATTTTTAATGTCTGAGTAACATCCTGA